ATCTTGTGGGAAGATCAACAACTGGGGAGGGGGAACATGTTCTACAGCAAAGACTGGCAAATACGTAAAAGAATTGACGAATTTATGGTGAAACATTTAAACCGGTCCGGCCTAAGCCCTAAGTGAACACAACAATTCCATGAAGTGAAAGACCCATGAGCACTTTGTCAGGACCCGCCAGAGTGAGTTCTAGTGGAAAGTAAAAGTCAATGAGCACCTGAAGAAGAGCCAGGAAGGAACACCTCACTGCTGCCTCCTGTGGTTCTGCTGTTAATTCAGAAGGTGGATGACAGCATAGAGGAGTGCCCCTCGTAGTCACCTGCACTGGCAAGAGGGGAGCATGCCTGTATAATGTCCAACATCAGCGTCACGGAGGTTGGAATTCCATGACAAAAAAAAAAAAAAAAAAAAGAAAAGAAAGAAACTTTAACCAAAGAGAATATCAGGGGAGATCATTAGGACAAGTATTATCAGTTAATAAGAAATACACTCAGGTTTCTCACAACATCCTTCTCTCTCTATGGGGAGGCCTGTTTTACCCTGGGGAAGCCACTTAACAATCTTTGCTTCGGTTTCACTAGGGTCATTGATTTGATACGGGCTCCGTGTAGTATCCGTGAAACACGCAGTTCTTTGTGAGCATCCTGGTGGTCACCAAGGCCTGCTTGTCATTTCTCCTCAATGTCTTGTAGATTCAACCAGTCTCTTCCATTCCCATGCTGACCCCCGCCCCCCCTTCTGCACATGTGAATTCCATCAGCAACAGGCTCTTAGTTGTACCCCATGCTCGCGTCTCCTAGGAACCAAGCGTGGGTGAAAGGTCTTAAAACTCCACTTAAATGCTAAAGAACCGAAGTAGTTACCGATGGTCTACTGCACGCACGTCCAGATTCCTCAGCTTGTCACCAAGCCCCTCCTGGGCTTGGGTGGGTCCCCCCCACCCAAACTATCTAGCCACATCAACCACAGGCCTTACTCATTTTACTGCCACCTCTTTTGCTACTTCTCACCTTTCCCCTAATGTTCGCCAAGATGAAAATAAAGCTGTATAGCTTAGTTACTCTTTTCTTCACAACACCCGCCCCTAACTCCATCTCAGCACGACTTTCTTAGTCTGCCTCCTTTCGGTAGAAGTCTTTATTTTCAGCTGTGGAAGTTTGCTTTGTTTCTCCACAGGTTTCTTGCCTCCCACAAGTTTATTGAAAAGAGTTTATTCGAAAGAAGACACATAAGCCACCCCCTGTAGTTTTAAATGTATCAAAGGCCACGGTAGTGCCTTCCACATACATTTGCGGGACCCACAGTGCTTAACGTGCTCTTAAGCACACCTAAATTACACCTGTTGTGATCAAGCACACTACGTAATGTGGTTAGGTGTTGGTGAGGGGTCCACCCTGACTTGGTTACTCTCTCCGTCAAGTACTCCAGGTCTCCTGCCTGGCATAGACCATGCCTGTCTCTGGCCAGGCACTTTTCGCTGTGCCAGGAGCAGATGGGCCTTCCCTACAGGGAGGGGTCCCAGAACCTGGAAAAGAGCATGTACCTGAGAGCTGCTGCCTGAGCAGCCGGGCCACTGTTATGGAAGGAATGATGCTGCCACCACCGAGGCAGAGCCGAGCTCTGTGCTGCTACAATGGCCAGGAAAAAAACGACCCCTTTATCTCCCAGAATAGACCCATTTCCCCTTCTATAAATGGACATAGTAGAGGCCGATAAAACGCCTCTGACGAGGCTTGTTGCACACATCACCCACAGCAGGAAAGTCCCCCATGCATCTCCTGGTCATGATGGCTTCTCATCGCTACAGCTTTCTGAGACCTCATCAGTCTCTTCGGTTCACCCGCTGTGAACTTCATAGTCAGCTTCCAGCCATCCACAGGGAATCACGCTCTGCCTTTGGTTTCGGGAGTACAACCCTCAGGAGGCTAACGACAACTGATAATTTGCAATTGACTCAATTTTCCTTCTGTTAAAACAGAGTTGGGACTCTTGGTGAGACCTGGCATCGTGTTCAAAACGTAATCAAACTTGAAATCTTATCTTTCATTTGTTGACTCAGTATTGAGTCTATTCATTTATTCTTTTTTTTATTCATTTATTCTTTTAATGAATATTTATGAGATCCATAGGTACGCAAGAGAATGGGGAGGAGGGGTGCTACAGATGTGTACAACAAGTTGTCTTCATTCAAGGATCTTTTTCTAGTAGGGGAGGGAAGTACACAAATAACTATAACTTAAGGCCATTGGTGGGAATATGCAAACAGAATGTTGAGAAGGCAAAGATCACTTTGTATTTGGGTTTTCTGGGTAGCCTTCATCGAGGAAGTGACCTTTGAGCTGGATCTTGAATATGTCGAAGAGCCTGAGGAGAAGCAATATAAAACAGAGAACAGCAGGAGGAGGATAACTTAGTGAGTGGCTCTCAGTCCGACTGGATGATTGGTCATGTAGAGAAGAGTCTTGATCCACAAGGCTAGAAAGGGCAGTTGGAGACAGACCCTGAGGGAATTTGAATGCCAGGTTAAAAAGTCAGGCTTTATTTGATGGGCGATGGAAAACTGGGGAAGGTTTTATATTTTTTTTAACAACAACTTAATTGAGGAGGCGCCTGAGTGGCTCAGTCGGTTAAGCATCGGACTTTGGCTCAGGTCATGATCTCATGGTCTGTGGGTTTGAGCCCTGTGTGGGGCTTTGTGCTGACAGCTCAGAGCCTGGAGCCTGCTTCGGATTCTGTGTCTCCCTCCCTCTCTGCCCCTCCTCCACTTGCGCTCTGTCTCCCTCTCTCTCAAAAATAATTAATAAACATTAAAAAAATTAAAAATATAACGACTTTACTGAGGTAGTACTGACATACAACAAACTACACACTTCAGAGTGTGTGGCTTGAGAAGTTTGAAATGTATATACACCCAAGAAGCCATCAGTACAATCAAAACAATGAACATATCCAATCACCTTCAAAAGTTCCGCTGGAAGATCTTAAGAAAATGGCAATCAAAGCAATGTTTCTTTTCTTTCTTTCTTCTTTTTTTTTTTTTTTTGAAGAAATGGCCCCTCTGATAAATTTTTTTAAAAGTCTCATAATCTACTTCAGTAGTATGTAAAATTTCAAAATGATTATATCTGAAAATGACTCACAAGACTAGACAAGGAAACCACAGCTTTGGTCAATCTGGTGGCCGTATTAGGACAGATGGGAATGGGCAAGCCTGGAACAGGACAATCAGTTAATAGCCTAAGAGACTTTACCAAAAGTCCAGGCATGGGGTAACAAACTCTCATAGAAAGAATCCAGACAAAAAGCAAGGAATAAGTGAGAAAGACTAGGTAAGTAGGGCTGGAGGCAGGGAAAAGGGGAAACATGACTGAGGTTTTGAGCTAGCTGGACAGCAATCTGAGGCAGTATAGGGATAAAAAAGGTATATAGATACAAAGAATTGGAGCTCGTGGATATGGATTTAGGAAGAAGGGAAATAAGTCCGTCAGACTTAGGAATCTTAGGAATCACACTGAGGCGAGAGGTAAAGCCAGAAGATTGGCTTAAGCCAAAACTTTATGAACTGTGACAGCAGCCCCAAACTGTTCATGGTGCAGTGTTTAATTTTTTTTTTTTAACGTTTATTTATTTTTGAGACACAGAGAGACAGAGCATGAACAGGGGAGGGGCAGAGAGAGAGGGAGACACAGAATCTGAAACAGGGTCCAGGCTCTGAGCTGTCAGCACAGAGCCCGATGCGGGGCTCGAACTCACGGACTGCGAGATCGTGACCTGGCTGAAGTCGGATGCTTAACCGACTGCGCCACCCAGGCGCCCCTCATGGTGCAGTGTTTAAAATAGTCCAGGGGTGCCTGGGTGGCTCAGTCGGTTAAGCGTCCGACTTCGGCTCAGGTCATGATCGCACAGTCCATGAGTTCGAGCCCCACGTCGGGCTTGGTGCTGACAGCTCGGAGCCCGCAGCCTGCTCTGCATTCTGTGTCTCCCTCTCTCTGCCCCTCCCCTGCTCATGCTCTGTCTCTCTCTCAAAAATAAATAAATGTTTTTAAAAAATTTATATATAAAAAAAAAGTGTGGAAACAAAGGCTCAGGGGAATTTGGATTACTTGCCCAATGTCACATGATTAGTCTTGGTGAAACTACATTGTGAACATCAGAGAACCTGAATGTATTCTTCATCTCTGGGCTACAGTGCCTTCTTCCTGCCACCCAAACACTTCAGCTCTCCCAGGAGAGGGTGCCTAGGAACGAACACAACACCTAAGCCAGAGCTGCTTCATCCATTTACTTGGTATAATCCCCAGGAGCACTGTGTCCTCAGTCTCCAGATACTGCTGTATACTCGGCAACAGATTCCTATTCGGATGTCTTGCTGACAGTATAGGATAAAATGGGGAGCTAGCGTAGCTAAGAGGGAAAAGACAAAGAGGAGGCTGCTGGCCTCTGACCTTTATCGTGTATTTTTCAGCTTTACTGAGAGAGAACTGACGTTGTAACATTGTATACGTTTAAGGTGTACAGGGCAATGATTTGATACATGTATGTATTTCAAAATGATTACCACAGTAAGGTTAGTTAACACATCTGTCATCTCACCTAGTTAAACAATGTGTGTTTTGGGGCACCTGGCTGGCTCAGTTAGTGGAACATACAACTCTCAGTCTCAGGGTTGTGAGTTCAAGCCCCATGCTGGGTGTAGAAAAAAAAATTTTTTTAAATAAATACATAAACATAGGACAGATAAATAAATAAAGTGTTTTGTGTGTATGGGTGTGGTAAGAACTTTAAAAATCTACTCTTTAGCAACTTCTAAATACAGGATATGGTATTGTTAACTATAGTCACCATGATGTACATTATTCTCCCAGACCTTTCTCATCTTATAACTGGAAATTTATACCCTTTGACCACCTTCACCCATTTCCCCACCTCCCACCCCCTGCCCAGGGCAACCCCCAATCTGTTTCTGTATCAATCAATTAAATTGGATTTGCTGAGAATTAGTTCAAATACATAGACACAATTCTATTTCATGAACAAAACAGCATTGGTCAATGTGAAAATAGTGATTTCACCTAAGAAGTAAAATACCACAAAACCCACCCTGTTGAATTTACAGTAATGTAAGGGACAAAGAAGTACATCAAGTGTCTTCAATTGGTAGCAAAAAAAAGCTAATTGCTACTTAAAAGAAACATGAAATCTCATTTGGGATTACAAACCTATTGTGATTTCTCCAAGAATTGAGGAAATCACACAACTTCAAAAAGTCAAGATATAGTCCCAGCGCTACATCTTTAATTCTATGCATTGAGGGGAAACAGATAGCCGGCTGGCTGAAAGGAGGGGATGTGGTTACACTTCAGCCAAACTGTAACCAAACCATTAATGCCTCTCTTCAAAATAGATATAGCAAAAAAAACAAAAAAAAAACAAAAAAAAACAAAAAAAAAAACCCAAAAAACAAAATAGATATCGCAATGCTTTTCTTCTTGACAGTCAGGTAAGTAGTCTGGTTTTGGGACTTAAGGAGTCTTGATGCTTGCCTATGAATCTATGAGATTCCTAAGGACTATTTCAAGATATTCATAACATGGATACTGTATGCCTCATTTCCAATCACTTCCAATCACTGATGGTAGGGCCAGGGAAAATATATACCCTCTACTGACTGACTACTCAGGAGTCACAAAGCTTTCTGATTTGCTAAAGTTCTCAAGAAAGTGTGGACTATGCCAGAACCAACAGAACACTCGAAAATCTAAAAAACAGAGTAATCCTATGTACAATTGTGTTTGGCAGGAATTATCAGGATTGCCACAGAATTTAAATTATTCAAGGAGAGATGTTCATTTAGCTTTAAAGCAAGGGTCTACACACTTTTCTGTCAAGAGCCAGATAGTAAATATATTTTACAGGCCATATGGTATCTGCTGTAACTTCTCAACTCTGACGTTGTGGTACTAAAACAGTCATAGACAATATGTAAACAAGTGAGTGTAGCTGCAATCCAATAAAAGAATTTACAGAAAAAGGAGCAGGCAGGATATGGCCAATCCTTGCTCTAAAATGATGGGTCTCAATTCTGTACGTACATAAGAATCCCCTGTGGAACTGGTAGCATCCTAGGTCCCAGCCCACCCCTACAGAATCAGAATCTCTAGGGATGGGGCCTGGAAATCAGCAATTTATAAGGTCCACAAGTGGTATGTAGGCCCCTTTTTGGTTTGAAAAACACTGTGGTATGCAGCTAGTTTCATCTAAGCTGGGATGGCCCCTCTGTCCTAGATGTGGGCCAGCACTTCCTGCATCCTGTGGCAGTAAAAATGCACTCACTGTTTTATCTTTTGTCGGCCTTTCTGGTAGGAGGGCAGATGCAGAAACTGCTATTTTTTGCTTTCAACCTAAAAATGCATAAAATAATTCTGCTTTGGTGAAATTAACACAAGACTCAGGTTATGAATTCAAAAGAAATTCTCAACTTAAAGAATTGAAATCTCCCTGAAATCCTTTAGATTGCAAAATGAGCAGACAAGATCCTTCCCAAAGGACAAAAGGAAATCTGAAGGAAGTTTACTGTGTGCTCCCTTTCCCAAAAGATCTCCAGCCAAGCCGGGCTCTGATGCTTCCAATTCTGCTCCTAACAAGTCATTACTTTGTGTCTAGAGGTCTTTGCTTAAATGGTACCTCATTAAAACTCACATAAAAACACAAAGCACAAAATCTCTGTAGACCTCCAAGGGCTTCTCCCAACTGTAGCAATCAGTAGAAAAGAAATTATTCAGCTAAATTAGGTTCTGTTCAAAAGAAAGCAGTTTTGGATTTGGTTGTCTGCTTTAACTGCCAGAAATCAATCACCTGAGCAGTCACAGGGGCAGTGATGTTCAGGCTGGCAAACAGCTCCCACCTCTTCTTCAGCTCTCCAGATTCTCCTAGGAAGAACAATGGATAGCCTACAGTCAAAGGGATGGTTTTCAGGAGCTTCCCAAAGAAACCACGAATAATCTGCAGATACCTTCAAGAAATGCGGCTCTCACTAAGGCTTCTGCTGATGCTGGAAATGAAGAGGAGTGCTCTATGAGAGCAGAGGGTCTAATGATTCCTAAGACATGACCTTAGAATGCCTCCTCTGGACATCGTTTTTGTTAGACAATAGGGGGATGGTTCTGAATTTCTTCAACATACATCCAAAGATGTTAGGGAGAGGAGACCCAGAAATTCACCAGGGAGCAGAGTGAAGCCAGGCTGAGATTAGCATTCTATCACCAGTATACTTGCTAGGCAGTTATATATAGAAAGTGAGATTTAGCTTTGCAGAGTTAGTAGTCAACATTTTAGGCAAAGTGTCTCTGAAGTCCAACACCCGTAGTCCTGAGCTTCTGACTGTTCCCCTTTTTACTGCTCTTTTCAGCAAAGTAGGGAGATCTGTTTTTCTACCTGGTCTCCAACTTACAAAGAATCAGGAATTGGGAGTCCCAGGTATGAGTACAAAAACAATGCAAATGCCTATCAGAGCCAGGGCCCCAACATACTTACCCAACCTCCCTGGCCCTGGACAAACTCCCGGACGGCACTGTTCCCGTTGATCAGGTTTACTACGGGGATAGCCACCTGTCTTGCTATTCCAGGAGCCATGCGGGCCACACATTCAAGAAGCTTCACGGACACTGCCAGAAAGGCTCTCTCATAAACTAAGCTGGAATCCTGAGCACACCAGGCCTGGCTGAGAGATTTTACTGTGTCCTGCAGTATAGTTCCTGCCTGGGGAGAGACATGGGATATCAGCCAAGTATCGAAAAAAAAAGTCTACAAGGAGCTGTAGGTGCAGGAATCCAGTAAAGCAAGTGTTTCCTATAGGAGAGAATAGCAAATGCACCACTGGTTGTATCTAAGATAATTTAAGGAGTAGAAGGCCAAACTTTTCCTATTTTATGATTTTGTTATTTATTGTAATGGGTATAGAGAAAACATAAGTAGCCCATCAAACCTATGATTTCAGGTGTCATTATTTAGGATGAGCAAAATGACTGAAAGAACAACAAAATGATTTGAAAGGACAATATTAAGTATGTGATAGTACTTAATAGTCAAATTGTGAAGGTACTGCTTGAATGACTGAAGTCTGGAAAATTCTGAAGTAAAAAAAAAAAAAAAAGTTTTTTTTTTTTTCTCCCCCTTTCCCTCCCCCCCCCCCCAAAATTGATCCAAAAGTCATTAGATGGGATGGGGCGCGTGGGTGGCTTAGTCGGTTAAGCATCGGACTTCAGCTCAGGTCATGATCTTGTAGTTTGTGAGTTCGAGCCCCATGTCCGGCTCTGTGCTGACAGCTCAGAGCCTGAGGCCTGCTTTGGATTCTGTATCTCCCTCTCTCTCTGCCCCTCTCCAGCTCGTGCTCTCTCAAAAATAAATAAATGTTACAAAAAAATTAAAAAACAAAAAAACAAAAGTCATTAGATGGGGCCAAGCAAGATGTACTGTGGTGTAGTGTAGGGGGGCCCATGGGAGTCAGAGCAGGGTGTCAGAGTCCAAACAAGTTGGGGGGGCCATCCACATGAGTACCTAGATCTTGGTTTCCAAATACCATTCTCCATTAAAACCAACCAGAGCTCCCTGGACAATGGCTGATTTCAGGCTGGGGCCTGGAAATACAAGAGATATGTCAGAAATTAAGGAAGTACTCGCAGAGCGACAGGACATGCCAAAAAGACACAGTCCAGATTGAAAGGACTCCCACTGGCCAAAACTAGGACAATTTGAACATCCAAATAAATAATGGTGGTAACAGATTACTAGTAACAGATAGGAATTCATGAGTCCATGTTGATATAAAAAATAAATACATGAAAGAGTAAAAAAAAAAGAAAAAAAATACATGAATAGATTGAAATGTTGATGAGATACTAGATATTTACATGGTTTCAAAATACCTCCCTATGCAAATTTAACCATATTAACTGCAGTAGATATAACTGCTGTAGAGAAGCCTTGCAGACACCACCTTAAGTGATTAAGTTAACATCAGTAATGGGACAAAGTGAAATTTGTGCCACTTAATAGGTACGACGAGAAGAACACTGCAACACTTTTGTGATCTTACTGCAAAGGTACATATCCTGAATCTACGCAAGAGGAAACATTGAAAAACCCCAAATTTAGGGACCTTCTACAAAATTACTGACTCATAATCTTCAAGTGTCATGGTCATGAAAAATCACAGAAAGATTGAGGAACTATTTCAGATTAAAGGATACTAAAGAGACATCACAACTAAATGCAATATCTGATTCTGTCCTAGATCTTTTTGTTGTAAGTGACATCATTGGGACAACTGGAACAATTTGAATGGAATCTGAGGATAAGATGAAAATGTGTCAGTACTAGTTTCCTGGTTTTGATGGTTTAGATCATGGTTATATATAAAAGCACAGCCTTGTTTGAAGGAAACATAGAAGTATTAGCGGATGATGGAACATCCTATCAGCCACCTACTCGCAAATGATTCAAGAGGGAAATTCTTTGTACGATATGCACAACTTTCCTATGAGTTTGGGACTGTTACATAAAACTTTTTTTTAATTAAAAAAAAAAGTAAGTTCATCTCTTAGCTACCTTAGGAAAGCTTTAGTGCAAACAATTAGGAGTAACAAGTCTGGTTCTGCCTGAATAGGCGTACCATCCAAGCTATATTCAGTAAGAAGAATAAAGCATAATGGTGAAGAGTGTGGTTCAAATCCTAACTTCAACACTCACGGAGTAACCTAATTTCTTGTTTCCCTATCTCTCAGTTCCCGTATCTGCTTAAATGGATATCAAGTCAGAAAATACTTATCGGGGATCTCCCGCATACGAGGTGCTATTCTAGGTTGTGTGAATACTGCAGTGAACAAAGAGGTGAGATGTTTGCTCTCACAGCATTACATGCACATGAGGAGAGGTTGCACTTATGGATAATAGTTTCTACACGACCTCATAGAGTGGTATCAGGCTTAAATGAGATAAGTGCAAAGCATTTAGAATACTGTCTGGCACGTGTTAAGTGATGAGTTAATATTACCTGCCATTGTTGATATTAATCAGCAACATCTTCCAGAACATTGCCGATGGTCTTTACATCTGATACAGAATCCAAGTGCTATTGCCAATAATCATCATTCTGATGAAAAGCCAGATATGCCCTAGTGGGTTGCTGTAAGTACTTACCCCTCAGTGCAGCATACTTGTCGACTATCATTCCTGTACATAGTTTCGTTGCTGGGCCTTCTGGGGATGGGGGAGGGGAAGACACCCACTCTCAGCAAAATAAATATTAAAACAAGTATATTAGAGACTAAAGTGCTTTACCAGGGACAAAATGCTACAGATGTGCTCTATGCTACTTAAGCACAGCTCTGATGAAAACACATGGAAACAATGTCACTACCACTTGGGCTCTGATGAACTCCTGAAGAACTAGCAGCTGGAGAATTCCTGCTGTATCTCTTTGGATGAAGATAAGCCCCCAAATCTTTCACTAGGATATTTCTAGTCACAGTCATGTAAGAGAAGTAAGAAAAGAGCATCTAAAATAGAAAAAAGCAGCAACTTCACCTGTCCCTGAATGGTTTCTGAAATGATGTTTTTGACAGAATCTTCCATTTCTCCATTGAACTGGTCACCCAACATCCGAAGGCGACCAGCAATGATGGCCACGTCAAAAGAGCTCGACTCTCCTAAGACAGAGGGAACACATTCACATTTGTTACAGAGCTTGAAGGAATGGCAACTCCCAGGAATCTGGGCAGTGGAGAAAGTTCTTGACTTTTAAACAACATTGGGCACTGTTCTCTCCCAAGAGCACCTTCAATATTCTGTCAACACCGAGGATCAGAAAATCTCCCTTCACTGAGAATATCTTTCTCTTCCATGGAGACTACTGATTTTCAGGTATTGCTGAAAGCTTAGTTTGCCTTTTGAAACTTCAGAGGAAATAAGGAAGTCTACCCAGATTCTCTCATTGACCTACCATCACCACCTCAGGCCAGGAGCCTTACCTGAATCTGTTTCATCTGCACAACGTAGGTCCCGGTTAGCAACCTGCACTGTGGGGCTCAAGAAGTCTGTGAGTAAAGAGTCCACGATGCATTGCGTTTGCTCCTCAAAAGTTCGGGGGCTCTTCATTTTAGATGGTTGCTGCAGAGTTTTGCTTCTCCACAAAACAAGCAGTTTTCAGCTCAGCAGTAAGTCAGAAATACTGGTAAGACAGGTGTGTCCACCTCTTGTAAAGTTTCCTAAGGGGACATGTAATCCAAGAGCCTGCCCTACCAATTTCCTTCAAAACTCGCTGCTCAGAAATGTGGGACTCTTCCGGATGGCTCATACAGAACTCAGGAGACTTTTCGAAGGCTTTCAGTTCCTTTTCTCAGAACCACACCCTAGCCAGTATCTAAGATGAATTAATTAATAACTTGTATTGTTAGCCAATTTAGGACTGAAATAGAGTTGAGGAAGAGCTTTCTTGGGCAATTTCATTTAGAAATACTTCCTGTTAGGTTCTGTGTATGGCATAAGTTAAAGAAAGAAGGTTCTGAAGTTATAATAGATAAGCATTCAACGCCTGACATATGGCATTTGTTTGCCATAATCATACATTTAACTTACTGAGTATCTTTTTTTACATGTTTATTTATTTTAAGAGAGAGAGAGAGCACACTCTCACACACACACGATCAGGGGTGGGGCAGAGAGAGAGGGAGACAGAGGATCTGAAGCAGGCTCAGAAAGGGCTCTGCACTGACAGCAAAGAGCCCAGTGAGGGTCTCGAACTCACAAACCGTGAGAGCACAGCCTGAGCCAAAGTCAGTCGCTTAAAAACTGAGCCACCCAGGCACCCCAAATTGCTGAGTATCTAAGGGTAGGGAACCATACCTAGCACTAGAAATAACAGAAAAATGACACAGTTCCTGTCCTCAAGGAGCTTACACTTTAGCATGTATGACAGATATTACGTGACTGATCACATAATTTCTTGTGCTTATTGAGACACGGTGTGTGATTACAATGTGCAATAGGGAATCAAACCTAGGGGGTTAGAAAGGCTCCCTTGAAGTAGTAACATCTGAGATGAGCTCTGAGGGACAAGTAGGGATTATGAGGCAAAGAAGAAAAATAAGACCATTCCAGGAGGAAATAGGATACATAAAAACTGAGAAGGTGGAAAAAAAACTTGGGCATTTGAGAAATTATGAATGGAGACAATACAAAGTATTTCACAGAGAAACTATGAGGATTAAATAAGATAATGTTACATAGGATGAACCAGCAATTTCTGAAATGTAGTAAATGTTAAAGGTCTTCCTGTTAGCCCAAGGCCTAAGGACTAGGGTAAAAGGGATCTGAGATTCACTAACAGAATTAAGTAGGATTTTCCTAACAGGGTTAGATTCCATCACTCTTTTAGGAGATCTCATGATTAGACACTTACCCACAGTGACCTGCCTTCTTAATGTAGCCACACCTAGTTTTGGGCTGTGGGTGTCAGCACTCAAACCTATCAGCCCTTCAAGGGTATTCTGATTGGTAGACTGATAGGAGATTCAAGCATAAACAGTGAGTCAGTTGTTCAGAATGAAAGTTCTCCTTGCAAAATACTAAGAGCCAGTCATCTGTTTTCTTTTCTTTTCTTTTTTTTTTTAATGTTTATTTATTTATTTTGAGAGGGGGTGGAGCAGAGAGGGAGGAGAGAGAGAGAATCCCAAGCAGGCTCTCAGCTGTCAGCACTGAGCCCTACTTGGGGCTCAAACCCATGAGACCACGAGATCATGACCTGAGTTGAAATCAAGAACTGGACACTCAGCCGACAGAGTCACCCAGGAGGCCCTGGACTAGAAACACAAATTATGTTTTTGTCCTCTATCGTTAGGGCTGAAACTTCGGTTTCTACTAAGTAAGATTGAGACTTCTAAGAAAGTCCTTCAGAGAGAATCCTGAGCCAACCTCCTTTCACACTAGAGCCAGCCGCTGAAAATTTAAGGATTCCAACAAATTAATTTGGCATACTTCCAAAATAACATAAAGAAAACAAAAAAAGGGTTTATAAGATACCATCCAGCTGGTGTTAAATAGCTTACCCAAGGTAAGTGGCATCAGTAGGTGGCAGAATAGAAATTTAAAACCAAGTCCTGTCTTACCTCAAATAATAAACCTTTCCCACAGTAATTCATTTCACAACTGATATGCTTATGGGCAAATACCATCTTTGGAATCTAATCTTTGCATGATCTTATCTATCCTTTGCATTATCTTGTATAATCAATGTCATAAGGCTACAGAAATGGAGAATATCCTCTCCTGGACAAGGGTGTGGTGAAGTTTCCTGCTTTGTGCATTTCTCCTTGAGCCTTTATTGTAGCACCTTCCCAAAGAATCATCCCATCCCTTCTCCCACTGCCCATCTACCCTTGACTGTTGCACTTCAAATACTGTACTCCCAGTTAGTACTGAAAAATGAGGCCAGAAATTTTTCACATCACTTGCTTCTTTTGTGCTCTGGCCACAACATTTTACATCCCTCTCTCAAAAGCCTCATCACCTTTTATCATGGGCTCAAGTCCAGGATCTTGTCATCTGTACCAGGTCTGCGTGTGAATGAGGATCCTTAAGTGCAACTCCTCTCAACGTGTAAATCTATTAACTAAGAAAATCCGTTATTTGCCTCCCCTCCCCCAAACACCCAATATATGAGAAAGGGATAGAATTATTGTACCAGAACTCCCATTCGAAAAGGGGGTTGGGGGAAATGGGGGCATTTAAGAGCCACTAATCCATGGCAATAAAATTATGGTCAGGAACTACACAAATGATTGCCTCTGCAATGTTCTAAAGCACCAGAGGGCACCCATTCCATGCGTTACATACTACTTCCCAACCAAGGCAGACATCAGATGGCCATTTTTCTAAAAGCACAATATCAACTACCCTCAAGAATTTAAAAAATATGCATCTACTTATGTATCACATCATCACATGTGTCACATATGTCTGCCAAGGCTAGAGAGAGCTCCTAGGGAGAAGAAATATAATTAACTCCATGGTATATTTAAGCTTTAGTCATTTTGCTTGTAAATTAGCAAACCTAGGCTACAGTTAGACATCGTTTCTTCACTGAGATTTTAAAATTACACTTTCTCAAAAACAAGTTTCATCTTCTGTTCTGCCCCACACATTACAGAGAAGCAACCAAGTAGGACTTAACCTTTTATTTTCTAAATTAAATATTTATTTATTTGGGGGGGGGGGGAGAGAGAGAATGCATGTGTGCACAGCGGAGGGGCAGAGAGAGGGAGAGAGAGAATTCCAAGCAGGCTCTGCACTGAAAGCACAGAGCTCAACGCAGGGCTCAAACTCACGATCCCATGAGATCATGACCTGAGTCCAAGTCAGACACTTAACCAACTGAGCCACCCAGGCACCCCAGGACTTAATTTTTTAAAAGCTCCAATATCTGGGATCGTTTTAGTTAACATTTACTCAATTGCTGAGCCATACCTACTTTTCTTTAGATCAGTATTTCAATTATAGTCTGTAATTTTTTTTTTTAATTTTTTTTCAACATTTATTTATTTTTGGGATAGAGAGAGACAGAGCATGAACGGGGGAGGGGCAGAGAGAGAGGGAGACACAGAATCGGAAACAGGCTCCAGGCTCTGAGCCATCAGCCCAGAGCCTGACGCGGGGCTTGAACTCACGGACCGCGAGATCGTGACCTGGCTGAAGTCGGACGCTTAACCGACTGCGCCACCCAGGCGCCCCTAGTCTGTAATTTTTTAAAAAGTCGATTTATCCAATCTCTACATCCTGTTCCCTTGCACTTTAAATGGGCAACACTTTACACTTTGATTCGATTTCTTTCAGTACCCAAAGAACATTCACATTTTATGTATTTTTTTTAAATTTTAGTGTTTTATTGATTAAAAAAAAATTTAATGTGTATTTTTGAGACAGAGGGAGACAGAGTACGAGTGGGGGAGGGGCAGAGAGAGAGAGAGGGAGAAACAGAATCAGAAGCAGGCTCCAGGCTCCGAGCTGTCAGCACCAAGCCTGACGTGGGGCTCAAACTCACAAACTGTGAGATCATGACCTGAGCTGAAGTCAGACACCTAACTGACTGAGCCACCCAGGGGCCCCTGTTTATTTATTTATTTTAAAGTTTATTTATTTTGAGAGAGAGTGCACGTGAGCTGGGGAGGGGCAGACTGAGAGAAGAGGAGAGAATCCCAAGCAGGCTCTGCACTGCCAGCATGGCAGAGCCTGACACAGGGCTCGAGCCCATAAACCGTGAGATCACGACCTGAGCCAAAGTCAAGAGTCTGACGCTTAACTCACTGAGCCACCCAGGCGCCCCAAACATTCATGTCTGAACCAAACAAGTCAAACTATGGAAAATGCAATTCTGAAGCTGTTCTGATCACTCTACATCTAATCCCTGGGGACCCATGATCTAGATCAGTCATTCTCAATGAGGGGTGATTTTGTCCCCTCAAGGCATCTTTGGCAATGTCTGCAGATATTTTTGTTACAACTGGGGGTTCTATTGGCACCTAGTGGGTATAGACCAAAGATGCTGCTAACAATCATCCTACAGGACATGGGAAAACCCTCCACAATAAAGAATTATCTGGCCCCAAATGTCAATTTTGAGAAATCCCAGTCTAGATAGACTTCCATTATGATTGTGTTTGATTGATACAATGTAACAAAACACACTTCAAACACCAATCCCAAGATATCATCAGAATCTAATTACTTACAGCCACTCATTCAATAAACATTTATTGAGTAATCACCATGTGGCCAACTATGGAGATAGAAGGAAAGAAAATCACTGTCCTGGGAAATTTTCCAGGGGGGAACAATGCACAAACCCCAGGCCCTTGCCAGAAAATTCAACACTGTTATAAACTCTTCTTATTAAGAGCCTAGTTGAGAGAAGTGAGGGGTGAAAAAAAATTTTTTAAGGTATGCAGTCCATTTATGTATCTAAGTTGAAGAAGTCATTGAATTAAGCTAGATGATATTTGGATCATGTTATCTTACGTCCTTGAAGAAATGCCCTAAGTTCCATGTTAAAGTTACATTCTCTTTCACTGAAGAACACCGTTAAGTCATGACAAACCCATTGCTAACTTCCCATAACAATTTTGTACCTACCACTCAGTGCTACCCATGTGAAACTATGTGTAAATTTCTTTTAGAAATTAATATTGGAGGGTTTCTTCTTCTCTGATGACAACTATATAACTACTTCTCTTCAGCCTGACTGCTAAATCACTTACAGAGCTACATTGGAGACTCCTCTCTACCAAGTATGTAGGCCCTTAAGCCTGAACATTTGTGTAACTCCCCATCTCTAACCAAGCCGGGCTTAAGAGGTATTTCTACTTTCCCTGTTGTGGATCCTCTGGTTGTCTATAATTTACTGGTTATTTGTACTTTAAATCATTTTATTACATCTGCTCTTGCCATAAGTTGCCTCGATTAATGTATAAAATGTGGGTAGGTATGAATAAAATTAAAAGCAAGGAAGAGTGACAGAAAACAGTTACAACAGTAGCAGGGGGACACATGCACTGGAAGCCTTGACAGCTTGAACAGGATCCATAATGAAGGCAGTGAGGGTCACAGAACGCTTCCTGAAAGAGCTCATGACTGAGCGGAACACTGACAGACTAGATTTCACTTAAAGAAAGAAGATAGGAGGGTAAGGAAATGTTCTAGCTAAGAAATAAAAGCAAGTACCAAAGCACAGAGGTGAGAGAGCGCCTTGTGCATTCAAGGAATGCAAGTGGTTTGCTTTGGCAAGAACAGCGTCTGGGCAAGCAGTGAGATGTGACACGGCAGAGGTACTCTGGATACTGCACTAAGGACTTTGAACTCTGGCCTTAAAAAGCATGATTAGGAGTATGAGGCCAGTGAGGAATTTATTGCAGTAACACAGGGAAGAAAAGATGACCTCCACGAACGATGACTTCACCAGTTTCCATAGACTTCAGGCATCTTTAATAAGTACGACAATCCCTAAAACGGATTAGAAAAGAATCCAAATCCTTTCCTTAGCCTGTTCCCATCCCCTTACCAACATTAACCTTTTCAACATCACCTGAAAAAATGGGGTCATCCACCAATAGGTATGAGAGGAATAAGCCAACAGTCTTTGGACAAAACCATAAGAATCCTGATTCTGAGATTGCTCATTCTCCATTGCATTGGATATCATCTGGACTTACAGGCAACTCTAATAAGAAAAACTAGGAACTCTGATAGCTGTTCATCTCACTTAGGACAGGCAGCAAGAATCTGTTATGATTTTATGTCTCCAATTGTTCCAAACACAGTTTCTAATACAGAAATAAAACTATTCAGTGTCTCAGTCCTCGGCTCATTTTGTTTCACAGAGATCTGCATTTCCGAGTTCTCGGACTCCAACAGCAGTTCTGTTAGGAACAGACACCCAGTGTCATCCTGAGCACTGAGATAGGCTTTCCACGGGTGAGCCCCAGCCCTGCTCATTGCGATGGTCTGGATGTTCACTACTTGTAGGGCCATCTGGAGGGTGTCAGGATGGACTGCTCCCCGCCAAGGGAACACCTGCTGATGAGCAACTTTCAGGCTAAACCAAGTTTTCTCAAAATACTCAGCAGTAAGCTGGCAATTGGGGACTAGCACGAGGGCTCCAGAATCAGGGAGTTCTTGTACCCTCTCCTTGTTCTCTTCAGGAATCAGGGGACCTAAAAGAGTCAGAAAGCTTCTGTAAGAGATCTTCTTAATCTACAGGAACTATGTTTTCTATCTAGATTTCCAAAAATACACAATGTGACTTTTATCTTTGGATACATCATTAAAATCACCAACTAGGAACTTCTTTCTTGCTCACAAAGACTTCAATTCAGGCAACAGTCTGAGATATAGCTAGGATACCCTACTTTCTACCAGTCATTACAAAAGATAAAGAGTTTTCATGATAAGATCTAAAGTAAGGACTATTTTTACCTGAGGTGGCAAAGCACGCAGTGTCAGGAAGCTCTGGGCCCCGACGCTCTGCCCCCTGGTATTTAGAGATGGTTGCCCAGCGGGCTTTGCCATAGACTGGCACCAGCGTGTTGAAGTCCGAGGCCCAGCTATTCACAGGTCTTTCTGCCTGATCTTCCAAAAGTCCAAGAGAAGGGTCAGATTTAGGGCTACAGAGGATCTGCTTCACTTCATCAATGCCGGCTAAGAGAAGGCGGTAATAAAAGAGACCTCGGTCTCGTACTGCCATATTCTTTTCTTCCTCTGAGGTAAGACAAGAGACTGTGTTAGTTACAAACAAAAACCAAAACACTCTTTCTATCCTGTGCCAACCACAACAGGGAAAACAAAAGGAAGGAGGGAGGAAGCCCCAGAAAATCATTAACATTGTCTTCTTGGGCACCAGACATGACTCACCCAACAGTGTAAGCTGTGAGGGTATTTACCATCTGACACGGCAAGCGCGACTCCCTTGGAAGAGCCTACCTATGCAGTAATGTAACAGGCGCCCCAGCGTGTCCTGGCACTCGGCGGGCCGGGAGAGGAAAAGGCGCAGCAGTGCAGTGAGCAGCTCCATCGTCACAGCTGGAAACGTCTCTGACTTCACATTCTCCACGAAGTCTTCCAACACATAGGGAGCATTGGGAATTCTCTCCCCATGGACACCAAGGAGCCAAATAAGGGCCTGTTTCCCCTAGGGAATGAAGGGGTAAGAGCAGGTGCTCAACATTCGGCTATCTGAAACACGGTGGCAGGTTCGACTTCCCACCCCCGCCCAATGGCAGCGGAAAAAGCATAATCCTACATTTACTTCAACTCGCACTGCATCGATCCTCCACCCAACACCACTCTTTACAACAAATACGAACAAAATGCTGCCACACGAAAGGAGACTCAAGACTCTCATAGCCCGTGTTGGTTAGGTAATAAGGCTTTTTCAGTTAGGGGGCCTCCGCCCCAGTCTAGGGTTTAATGTATCGGTGGAAGCAACTGAAACACTCCTCTAACCCACTTCATGAAAGTGGTAATTGACCTAGAGTGCAAATCAAAGTAGGTAGGCCTGTGGTGAAGCCCAAATATCTGTTAATTCCACAAATGATTCTGATTCTCATTCCAGCTGAAAACTCCATTGTCTAAGCCTCTGACTCAAAACTGTTCAAGAGAACGATGATATTAAAGCATCTTTAATAAAAACCATAGATCAATCTCCTGTTTTTATCTCTTCTACCCTATCTATACCCAAAAGAGAATCTGAGGTGGCAGTCAATTCTAAGGATAGCCACATTCAGACTGGGTAGAAAGAAGAATTAGATTCCATTTCACAGAGCAGGGTCCCAAGCATTCCCCTTCTGCCTGTTAGTAAAGGAGAATTACCATCTACCTCGCTATCTTGAATGTTCTCCTCACAGCCGGGCAGGGCCTGACACACAGCTTCCGTACACTGAGGACACAACCAAACCAGGTCTCGGAAAGTTTGCACCACCACTACAACACAGCTCAGGATACAAGAGCACAGGATTAGAGGCTCCACGCAGGAAGGAATCTTAAGAGAAGTCACATATTCAGACTAGTTTGCTAGATGAAGTTCGGTAAAATGGGTGTTGGAGGGGTGGTCAACGATTATCTGAGAAATGTCTGACACGGGCAATAATTTCTTACATGAATGCTGCTCCTTTTGGATCGCTAGGAGGCTAAATGAGCTAACATGTGCAAAAGCGCTTGGTAAAATGTAAAGCAAATGTGGGGTCATGTTCAATGATATTCTGAAGACGGTGTAAATGGAGCCACCAGTGTTGGAACTAGGGTGAGGCAAACAAGGTGCTGGGGGTGTAAAATTTAAGAAAACATGCAGGGTTAGCACTTGCACGAACCTGAGAGCGAGTGCCTCTTTAAATGTTTGCATCCTGGGTACCTTGCTTGCCTCACCCCAGTCCCAGCCCTGGAAGCCACTGCTGCCATAAAGCAGTAAGAGGGTAAAGCTGGGGAATTAACAAGCACAGCATCCTAGAACCCTTCATTATGTACAGAACAGCCTTGTAGAGTCATGGCAACCTGAAAACCCCCTACCTGTTAGATCTATGGACCCTATGCTTCTCTGATGGCAACAGACGATAACGCAAAGAAAAGTTTAAACCTCTATGTTACTGAACAACAAGCATTTTGGGGGGGCAACTACTACAGGGCAAGCAATTGACAAAAAAAAAGCAAAACAAAAAAATGCTCAAAGGGTAGCCAGCCATTACCTGTGGTGATGTGCTCTTGTCGAAGCCCCAGCAACTCTGTTAGAATCTGCACACACTGATCTGTGTAGGTCCTGGCAATACCACCTACAGAGGAACAGAAAGCACAGAAAAGTGGTAAGTCACATACCAGCACCTCGTTCTAAAATAATTTCCCACCAGCCAAACATAAGAGGACCAAAGATACCTTAAAAAAAAAAAAAAAAAAATCACACTTTGCTTGATCTTCCCAAGTTTGGTAAAAATGATTTTTCCATTGAACAACGTTGAGAACTTTCAGTAACAGAGGTATTCACGTGGCAGCCAGACACGAGGCCACGGCTTGGTACAGCACAGCTGCACAGGAGTGTCCCTGCTGGGAACCCTCGACAGTAGTCTCCTGACTGCAGGAGTTCTACGCTCTCCTCTTTGTTCCCTCCTCTTGCCCCTAAAAATAACCAATCTTTATTCTCATAGGACGGTTCCTTCTCCTCTTCCGCTTGAAGCCCTCCAACAAAACGTAGCTCCCCAGCTTCTTTCATTTTGTGAGTCATTCTGGCTTTTTGAATTCCACACAGAGTAGTATGAAAAAGCCTGTGATATTTAGGATTCATTCTGCGCCGCTCTGCACTGAGCACGATACACAGCCCATAGTAGAAGCTCAATAGACAATTGGTCAATTGACACAGGACGTTGAGTCTGGAGAGCTGGGTTCCAGTCGCACTTCAGGAACTACGTGACCTTCTGGCAATAACCTTCTTGTGCCTGAGTTTCTTCATTTCTAAAATGAAGCGCTAACCCTTGTCCACTTTTCCTGACTGCCTCCCAAGACCGTGCTAAGATGATATATGGGAAAGCATTCTGGACAGCACTGTAAATTTTAGGTACTATAATCTGAGTTACCTGTAGCCTCTATCCTGGCAGATATGGCAACACCAGTGTTGACGAAAACACCTCCCCCCTCACTCCTTCTGTGGTCACTGACTCCCAGTTCTTTGGTGCATGGTAGTTTGTCTCTGCCGCAAGATTCGTTCCTGTTTATTCCCTATGGTTCCACAGCTTTCGGGCTGGCCTGAGCGCTCAAAAAGGAAAAGCGGCAGATACCTACCTATGGCAAAGATGGCAGCCTGGGCAAAGTCGGCTGACACATCGGTACAGTAGCCCCGGAGCTCCTCTAGCACCTGCTGCACGTTCTCATCGTTCACCAGCTCACACAGCACCTCCACCTTCTGCAGCTTGATGTAGTGCGGCTCCGAGTAAGAGCAAAAAAACTTTTTGTAGTGGCTGCTAAAGTGACCCGGCAGACTATGCAAGATCTGACGCACGTGACAGAGGGCAGCAAAGCAGAGCTCGCGGCTCTCTGAAGAACAGGCGGCCAGCAAAGGTCCCTTGACTTGCACAAGCACGTCGGTTTGTACGTGGGGGAATTTTTTTGCCAAGATCAGAAAGAGTTTCGTGGCTCCCATCACCACACCTGGGCTACTGCTCTTGAGAAAGCTATCCAACAGATTGAGAATGTCAAACAGCTCCTCCTCACTGCGGGGTTCGTAGCGTAGCAGAAAGTTCAATACTTCAGCCTGGCCCCATTGGTCCAGTTTTGGCATTCTGTCCAAAAAAGGAAAGCATTATTTTAGCAACCAAATGACGACCATCTCCGTGCAACTGTCACCTGTTCATCAAAACAAGGAGAGAATTCTTGAAAACAGGTTGTGCCATAACAGAATTATTCTTTTTAGGTACTATTTAAAGTGAACACAAAACAGGCTTTAAATTCCAAGAGGAGTTCACAGTACACATTCTCACTCATCTAAGGCCAAAGACCGTGATTGCTATACCTAGATCCAGATTCTTTAAGACAACACAAATGCCTTAGTTTGGGGGACATAATGATCGTAGAGGAGGACAGAAACTATTTCCACAGGATATTTCTGCCATCTCTCTATATGACCAAAAGAAACTAAGACAAATAAAAGAATATTCTCTCAATAAAATATGAGGAAACTAATAGCTACTGTTAATTTTACTACTCTATAGAAGTTGTTCAAGATGTCCCCTTAATCCAACATATCAAGACCCCACTAGGATGCAGATCTCATCATAACAAAAAGAGGACTGAGGCATCCAAACCGATTTAAGAGATGGTGGGCGATGGGCTTGTTGATGACAACACCTCCTTCCTGTCTCAGAATTTCCTCTAGAGACCTCAGGCAGTTCACAACCACAATTGGATCCTGGTCACGCAGCAAACTGTATAATTCATTTACCAGGGCACCGTCTATAAAAGAGCATAAAGATCTCAGATAAAGAACAGTTTCAGAGTCACAGGAATAGAACCAGGACAATAGCTCCAGGCAGATAAAGCTGAACTTCTCCGCTACAAAAATAACAAAGGCAATAATAAAATGCAAAGCACACAAAAAAGCCATCCCCAGACTGTTCTAAGTAGCTAATGCAAAGGATCTCACCTGGGCTCCAAAGAAAAGACTTCTCCAATCTCAGAAAATACCAAGCCAGCCTTTCTACTTAGAGACACATACAGGGGTGCCTGCGTGGCTCAGTCGGTTAGGCATCTGACTGACTCTTGATCTCGGCTTAGGCCGTGATCCCATGGTTTATGGGATTGAGCCCTGAGTTGGTGCAGAGCCTGCTTAGCATTCTTTCTCCCTCGCTCTCTGCCCCTCCCCCACTCATTCTCCCTCTCTCTCTCTCTCACAATAAATAAATAAACCTTAAAGAAAAAAAGAGAAACAAGTACACAGCCACATTACTATTTCCTACCAAAGCCACGTGACCTTTTCCAAAGTCAAACATATAACGGAGACACAAAAAAATATAAATCATGATGGATTACACTGAAACTTACCCACTTCCGAGTCTCCGTGAAGATTATGCATCTTGGCACAACCAAGGACTGCCACCCTCCTGACATATGAAGCCTTATCTCGCAGACCATTGAGAATAGGCTGTTGGATGTATTCCTGCACACCAGGCATCCTAAGCAACACATCCTGGAGTCAGCCAGATCCTAAAACACTAGTTTTGACATAATTCAGGCCCTATGCCCTTAACACAGAAGGTTTGGTAGATGTTTGAATGTACATCTATCATGTCATAAAAAGTTAGAGAAAGCCACTGGCCAAACTTAAAAAGTCATACTTGACTTTTCATTTGGACTAACACTGCATGGGCAACAAAACTATATGTCTACATAACTGTTTAGAAATCTTTAACCAAAAGCACGAACTATCTCAGCAAGAGTGAGGATGTTAAACTCCCTTTAAGGAAACCATAGGACATAGTTTTTCAAGCCTAAGCAATGGCTGAAAACCTGAGTTCAGGTTACAACTGCATGTTCCCCATGATTAAGAAGCTCAGATAAATTATCATCATTAAAAACCTGTCCCATGATCTTCCGAATACATCAACCACTGATAAACAGTCCTGGAAAAGGGTACTCACCTGAGACTACACATGCTCCGTAATGCCAGCCCCCGCACCATTGGATTGGGATCCGAACAGTCTTTGCACAGCGTATTAATGGCCAAGAGAGCCAGATCTGGTTTCAGGGGGGCATAGGTACACATGTACAGATAAACCAACTTCTTCTGAACAATATCTACGGTGGCACTGGCCTTCACCATTTCCATGAAAACACCAGACATGTCCAAGCCCTGAGTCATGTGCCTAAAACCAACACACATAGCAGGAAGAAGTAAAATACATGATCCCCAGCCTATAACAACAGGTGTTTTACCTATACACATCCCGGTTATCCAACTAGATTATGAGGAAAGCAACCGGGTCTACCTTGTCTATCACATTGCACAATACTTCACACGATAGGCCTACAATAAATTTTCTTCTATTCATTCAAGAAATAGTTATTGAATCCCTGGAACATTCCAGTGAAATTCAGCTTCTACATTCCAGGGGTATGCTCTGGGGTCATAATTTCAAAAAAAGCATGGTCTCAGATCTCTAGCAACTCAAACCGTATTAAGGAGCAAGACAAAAACACCACTAATTACAATATGATCGGTAAGTATTAAAACAGAAGTAACAGGGGCGCCTGGGTGGCTCAGTCGGTTGAGCGGCCAACTTTGGCTCAGGTCATGATCTCACGGTCCGTGGGTTCGAGCCCCGCGTCGGGCTCTGTGCTGACAGCTCAGAGCCTGGAGCCTGCTTCGGATTCTGTGTCTCCCTCTCTCTGACCCTCCCCCGTTCATGCTTTGTCTCTCTCTGTCTCAAAAATAAATGTTAAAAAAAAAAAAAAATTAAAAAAAAAAAAAAAAACAGAAGTAACAGACAAGGTGCAGTGGGGGATCAGAGGTCTAATACTGCCAAGAAACCATAAAATGTTTCCACAGAAGTAACACTTTAGTTGAATGAGCTGGAATTTGTCAGGCAGGTGTAGTAGACAGGTAATGATAGATGCTATAAGGCACATAGGCATCAGCAAGAATGCTACATTCTTTTGAGAGTCTGCAAGTAGTTGTGTTAGGGTGCTCTTTGGGTACTATAAGAAATTTGGACTTTATTCTGTAGATCAGTTTCTCAAACTATGGTTTCCTACAGGAGTCAGATGGGGTGTCTGTTTAAAACGCATATTCCTGGGTTCCATCCCACCCTACTGAAAGCAGCATTACTGGACTGGATGAAAACTTTGATTTTTCTTTTTCTTTTTTTTTTTTTTAAAGCACTGCAAGGGACTGTTGTGCATACTAAGTTTGTGAACCACAATTGCAGGCCAAGAGTTATATACATTCAAATTCATGTTAGAAAAATTCTACTTGAAATGAGGCAAGGTAACCTATTAGCAAGCTACTGCAATTGCTTTGGTAATAAAACCAGAAGAACAGGACCAATAAAAAATAAATACACAAAAATTCGTTAAAAAGAGGATGGATGGGGAGCTTGGGGGGCTCAGTCGATTCAGCTTCGACTTCATCTCAGGTCATGATCTCACGGTTTGAGTTCCAGCTCCAGCTCCGCGTGGGGCTCTGTGCTGACGGCTCAGAGCCAGGAGCCTGCTTCGGATTCTGTGTTTCCCCCTCTCTCTGCCCCTCCCCCGCTCACGCTCTGTTTCTCCCTCTCCCAAAAATAAACACTAAAACATTTTTTTTAAATAAAAATAAAAGAGGATGGATATTTAGAACTGTGTATCCATACCATCTGACTTGAGAAGTGAAAATCGGGCGTCATCAAGACTGAGTCCCTCCCTTGGTCAGCTGGATGGTGACATTCAATCAACCCAAACATAAGTGGAAGAGCAGGTTTGGGGAGAGGGGAAGGATGTAAGGTGCTATTTTGCAGGTCTTTGAAGAAATGTCCAAGTGGGAATGCCAAGCAGCAGGATATGTGGGTCTGAAGATACAAAGGGGTTTCTGTACTAGATTCTATAGATCTGGGGGAGGGGGGGAGGCAGCAGTGTAAGTTCAAGACATGGGCGTAACCACCCCGCTGAGTAAACGAAGTCAAGGAAGTCCCACAAAGGGAGGCTGCGACGGCCATGCAGAGAAGCAGGAAGCCCAAATCCTAGCCTGCCCTGAGTTCATTCACTCTTTGGGAGCGGCCGGGGGTGGAGGGCCGGGATGGGGGCTGCCACGGGGAGTTCGGGCGGTAGGGGATACCTAATCACTCGCTGGATGACATTCCGGTAGCGCAGCCTATCCGCCTGAATGTGAGGGTTACACAGAGCTTTCTTCAGCTCCTTCACCACGTCCTCGGAGCCAAGGTACGGCATCGTCCACAGTCGCGGGGCAGTCCCCGCACACCCCTAGGTAACTCGCCGGCTCCTCCCAGCCCTGACGTGGGAACCTGGGTAAAGCAAAGGTCAGTCAGCGGCGACGCGAAAGGCGTGATCTCGCCCCAGCCTCGGCTTCCCCGGGGCCGGAGCCCAGGCCCCAGCACACTCTCACCAAGCCTCTCCGCGCCCCGGCGAGCCCCGAACAAGGCTCTGTGGTTCCTGCCCGGGACCTGCAGGCCGGCTCGCGGCGCCCCGACACCTCTCCCGCTACCTCGAGGCCCTCCGCCCCATTTCCAGCCGGGCCGCCGACAGTCTGCAGACCCCTCCCTCTCCAGTTCCAGCCCTTCTTGCGCCTCCGCGCGGTTGCAGCCAAGGATAGGCCCAGTCAAGCTTTCTGCGGAAGTCCCGCCTCCTTGAGGCCGACCGCGCACAGCAGCTGCCACTCACCTTCTCGCGGCCAGCGCCTAGCGTCGCCCGGACGCCGACCTTAGGGCGCCCTTCCCCCCACCTCTCACCTCCAGGCGCAGCCGCGCGGCTCCCTCTGGTGGAGGCGCTGCGGGCCGTCGGAAATCGGCTGCTTCGGCCTGTCTCCGCCCAGCAGCGCGCGCTTTGAGTGCCCGGCCTTGGCCCCGGCTCCCGCGCGCGGGTAGGAGTGGCGCTCGGCCGAGAGTCTTTGGCGGTTTGCGATTCCACCCAGGACTCGCAAGAGCACGGCCACTTCCTTTTTCTCCCCACGCTAGGGACTTATTCCTCTACTGGGCTGGCTTCCCGTTAGGGGTTCTGTCCGCGTTCTTGCCCCAGCGTGACTTTCTTCAGGGCGTGGTTGCAGGAGCCTCACGCGGCAGCTCCGTGCCCATGAAGATCTCGCTGGTGACCCTCCAGCCCCGCCACCATGAACGGGACCCTGATCCCCCATACGCCCATCGCGGTGGACTTTTGGAGCCTGCGCCGGGCTGGTTCCGCACGGCTCTTCTTTTTGTCCCACATGCACTCGGACCACACCGTGGGTTTGTCTAGCACCTGGGCCCGGCCCCTCTACTGCTCCCCAATCACTGCTTACCTCGTGCATCGTCACTTACAGGTACGGGGGTGAGGGGGGGGGGGTGCTGGAGTCCTCTGAGAGGTGGGCCGAGCAATCTGGGTGGGGATTTCCTATCTGTCACAGCCTCAGACTCGTAGGTTAGGGACCAGGAGGACCGTTTTTTCCAGTGCGGGAGTTGTTTGAACCCAGAAATACGTCCTTAAGCCCAGAATGGGAGTGTGGTTTCTTGACTGGCTGACCTGCGATGTTTCAGCTATAAGTTGGGGAGATCTTTTGGTCCAGCCAAGGAAACTGTACCTGTATTTTCATATAAGCTAGGCCAGTGTTTCCTAAACTTGTCTCAGAAGAATCCACCTAATATGCTGGGTGACTATACACATTCTCCAGTACCCCCTCCCCCATTATCTCCCCTCCCCCGTCTGATCCAGTAGATATAGCTGGTGCAGGTCCTGGAAATCTGGTTAGAATTTTAACAGGTGCCCCCAAGAGATTATTATGATCAGATAGTTTGAGAGACGCTGCCTAGAGTGTTTTCTGGACTCTTTCATTTAAACTGTAGAAAGGGCGGGAGGGAAGAGTGGGGATTTGGGAGAATCTCTACTACAGCTTCTGCTACAGGGTGGTTTAGGATGTGGTCAGCTTTCCCTCACTTGGGTAAAGGGGTGATTCCTAACCCAAGACAGTATCGAGGAGAGTTTGTGTTCAGTAGAATGACCAACTTTCCCCCCAGGTATCCAAGAAGTGGATCCGAGCCCTGGAGGTTGGTGAGAGCCATGTCCTGCCTCTAGATGAAATTGGGCGAGAGACCATGACTGTAACCCTCCTGGATGCCAATCACTGCCCTGGCTCTGTCATGTTTCTCTTTGAAGGATACTTTGGAACCATCCTCTACACAGGTGGGCCTCCTAAGGGGTCTCTCCCACCTTGCCAGACTAGATACTACTTTTCTTGAGCAGCCTTAACTCAGAAGTCTGGAGGCCTCCTAGCTTCATCCCATGTGAGCACAGTGACCTTTCTCAACTGATTTCCCATGCTTTATGGGTCCAGACCTTGTAAAGAATAATAAAAACAGAAGCAGAATGGAGACATTTCTAAAAAGAAGCTATACTGTATTAGTGCCAGACTCCCTGACAGTTTTTCCACAGGCTGGTAAGCAAATGTCCATCAGCTGTTGAAAGTGAGAGAGGCTTGGGGCACTTGGGTGGCTCAGTTGGTTAAGTGTCCGACTCTTGGTTTTGGCTCAGGTCATGATCTCACGGTCCGTGGGTTTGAACCCTGTGTTGGGCTTGGTGCTGACAGTGTGGAGCCTGCTTGGGCTTCTCTGTCTTCCTGTCTTTCTGCCCCTCCTCTGCTGCTCTCTCTCCCTCTCTTTCTTTCAAAATAAATAAGTAAACATTTTTTTTTAAGTGGGAGGGGCTCGTCTTCTATACTTTTGTCTCTGACTCTCTGCCCCCCATGTATTCCTCCAGGTGACTTTCGGTATACACCATCCATGCTAAAGGAGCCAGCCCTGAAACTAGGGAAACAGATCCATACCTTATACCTAGATAACACCAATTGCAACCCAGCCTGGGTTCTTCCCTCCCGACAAGAAGCTGCCCGCCAGATTATCGAGCTCATTCGAAAGCATCCACAGCATAACATAAAGATTGGTGAGTGGTTTCCTTTCCTTTTTCTCTCACCGAAAGCTAGCGAATCTTGGGTTTTGGGAGGGTTTCACGTGTCTTTTAGGTCTTCGTAGATGTCCCCTTCTCCGTGAAACCTACCCTGACCACCTTATTTAAATGGCAATCTTCCAACCATCTCTACTCTCATACTCTCACATGCCCAACTCCTGATCTTCTGTAACCAACTGTTTTATTTTTTCATAGCACTCATCACCTTACTCTTATCCATGCTTCAATCCAAGCTATTACTTATTGTTTGTTCTCTCCTTCTCTTGACACACACACACACACACACACACACACACACACACACACACACTCACACTCCTTGAGAGCATGGATGGAGGTAGGAAGAAGTCTTGTTTGTGGAACAGAGAGGCAGCAGCCGGTATGGTGGACACGTAGTGGGTGAGGAGGCTGGAAAGGCAGGAGGGGCTGAAGTGCTTGCTTGTAAGCTTCAACTTGATCCTAAATGTAATCCCAAATGTAACTTCATCCAAATGGTTACATTTGGACAAAAAGCTGTTGAAGGTTTTTAAATAGGAGAGGGCCAATATTGCACTCATCACCTTACAATGTATTCCACAATTTACATGCTATTGTATTTGCTTTTTGTCTCCCCCTGCTAGAATTCCACAATGGCAGGGCTCTTTGCTTTCCTTATGGATATATCTCAGATGCTTAGATTAATGCCTGAGGAGGCAATCAATAAACCTTTGTTATCTGAGCAAGTGAAATTTATCAGAACGTAGATATTCAAGTGATTGCCGAGCTTCAAATCAGACACATCGAGAAACCAACTGTGTGTTCTAGCGATTCCACAACAGCATAAAACATTTTGGGGCCTTCTAACTGGTACTTATGCTTTCAGCATCTCCTCATGCAGGCGATCCAGTAACACTGCTGTCATTTTTTTTCCCTAAGGCCCTCCTCAGATCATAGTATTCCTGTGATTAAAATTAGCCATTTTCCTGGTGCAAACTCTTTAATAGCTCTCTTTCACTTACAGAATTAAGTTCAAGCTCCTTAGCAATATATACAGGCTCTCTATCATACAAGCCTTGCTTACCTCTCCTGTGTCATTTCCTGCCAGTTCCTTGTCTGCACTTTAGTGACACCAAACCACCCCCTTCCCCTGCCAGGTAAACTTACACCTGTCCTTTAGGACCGCTCAGTGGCCATTTTCAGGAAACCTTCCCTGTGATCAACTGGTAGATACTTTCCTATGCTCTCATAATAGTGTGTGCATGCTTCTAACATTGCTCTTGACCACACTGTGTCTGGGTCCCCATGTAGATTACACTCCTTGAGGACTGAGGCTTGTGCTTGTTTTCATAGTGCCTCAACACCACGTAGATGCTGTCCTTTGTTGAACTGAATGAGTGAGTGGATCCTGTGTGAAGCCCTCCTCCATCCTCTATGTATCTCAGCTCAAATGCCACCTCCTCCCTGATACACTCCCTGATTGCCCTGTTAGTTTTGTGTGTTTTTGTTAAACATTTGGTTGATTTATTAGGATTCTCCAGTATCTTCTTTCTCTTTCATCCCTTGCTTTTCCCATTCCCTTTGACGTCGTTCAGGACTCTATAGCCTGGGAAAAGAGTCGCTGCTAGAGCAGCTGGCCCTGGAGTTTCAGACCTGGGTGGTATTGAGTCCTCGGCGCCTGGAGTTGGTGCAGCTTCTGGGCCTGGCAGACGTGTTCACGGTGGAGGAGAAGGCCGGCCGCATCCATGCTGTGGACCACATGGAGGTCTGCCGTTCTGCCATGCTACATTGGAACCAGACCCACCCTACCATTGCCATCCTTCCCACAAGCCGGAAAACCCACAGCTCCCACCCCGACATCCACATCATCCCTTACTCAGACCACTCCTCCTACTCAGAGCTCCGGGCCTTTGTGGCAGCACTGAAGCCTTGCCAGGTGGTGCCCATTGTTGGTCGGCAGCCCTGCAGGGACTACTTTCAGGACAGCCTGAGCCCCAGGCTCTCTGTGCCCCTGGTCCCGCACTCTGTGCAGCAGTATATGAATTCCTCCTCAAGAAAACCAAGCTTGCTCTGCCTGTTGTTAGAAAGGAGACTAAAGAGGCCGAGAACCCAGGGTGTTGTGTTTGACTCCTTTCCGGAAACTGCTGATCAATCTCAAGGTGACATGGACTCGCAGGAGGCCAAGAATGACAACCTTTCTGGGCACCTCGAGAAGCAGGCTTCCCACCGTCCTTTGCAGATCAAAAAACCGTTGCTTCCGGACCTCTGCAGCAAAGAGTGGGATGGGGCAGTCCCTTTCTCAGAGTCCCAGAAGATGGTGACTGTACTGAATGCCCCCTTGAATGTGTCAGTGCACTTACGGTCTACAGATGAGGAATTTATGTCTCTAGAAACTGGGGAGGAAATTGGTGTGTGGCCCCACTCGGTCCCCAGGGGAAACCATGATGGCTTAGCAGCCACAGGGAACCAGAGCACTTGGACGGGCCAGGATTGTCCCCTGACTCACAGCAGCGAGGCAGCCCCTCTCCTGGCTCCTGAGTTCAGGGGCCTGGCACTGAAATACCTTCTGACTCCAGTGAACTTTTTCCAGGCCCAGTTCTCTTCCAGGGGCTTTGACCAGCAAGTGGAAAAATACCATAAACACTTGCTGAGGTACAGGGAGGAGAATGACACCTTCGTTTGATCCAACACCGTGGTTGTAAAGATAGTGACCCATGGCT